TTACACTTACGTAAAACCATTAAAATATCCATGTAAATTCACCAATATTTTGTTAACTATGAGGCAAACAGTGCAATGTGAATGTTCTGGATTAAACAATTAGAAAAGTTTAGTATCCAAGCTGTGCAGTGAAGATGACTTTATCCAAACATTGTCTCATGCATAATATTTTTAGCTTTTAACCATTTATATTTTTCAAGGATACTCTAAATTTCATTTTGTAAAACTCCAGGGTTCCAAGAAATACTATCTTTGAAGCACTGCTGCAGCAAATTACATTACTTACCTACTCAACAATTATCTCCTTCTTAGTCCGTTTTGATGAATACCAAGGCATGGCACTGGTTTCATAATATTGTCACAATACTTGGCAATTAGGTGGGCATTTGTGGATGTTAAAAAATGCATGGTGAATGGTACCTAAATACATTGTGCCCAAAGTAAAGTTATGGAGTGGAAGCATAATGCCTTGGGACTGCTTCTGATGATTCAGATTGTTCCTTTGCAAATGATTAACACACACACACACACAAAAAAAAAAAAAAAAAAAAAAAAAAAAAAAAAACACTTAAAAATCAATATTTAGGCCATTTCAGAGCAAAAATCAATAATTAAGCCATTTCAGAGCTACCCACATTGTGGCAATGGTTTGATATAGGCCCAATTTTATATCGTTCATGAGTGCACTTTCATTCATAAGGCTCAAGATGCATAGCTGGTTTGCAGATATTATGTTGAAGAACATAACTAGCCTACTCAGAGTCCTGACCATAACTTTATTGAGAACTAGTGGAATGAATAAGAATTTTGGTTGGGAGCCAGGCCATGGTGCCCAGACTGGTGACAAAAGTAAACAGTGCTTTTTTCCTAGAATGTGCTAATCATCTGATAGAGTGCTAAGTAGTCTGGATAATTTGGAATATGTAAAGTCATTATTGGGATTATGCATTCCACAGGCAGAAAGGCCTTGTGTGCCTTGCTGCATGATGACAACAACATTTAGAAGAAATATCACTAACAAAACAAATTATGATAGTCTAGTAAAAGAATACAGGGGAAAAAAAAAGGACTTTATATTCTGCGGCTAAACCAAGTAAGAGGAGCAAATCAAAATACGTCTTACCAATAATTCAGATTCTTTCTATAAAAAGCAAGTTAATGCTGAAGCACAGTTGAAAAATATGATGAATGAATATGATGAATGATGAACAGTTGAAAAATATGTTCCATTCTGTTGAAATATAACACCTTTGCTACTCTCAACTTGTTCTTTTGTGAAAATTACAGCTTACTGACACACCATGCATTGGCTTAAAAATTTTTCAAAAAAAAAAAAAAAGTGGATGTAGGTAATAGATTTCCATTTCACTACTACTGAAATGCATATTTGTTATCTATTTCATGAATGCAATGAATCTGAAACTGGCAAATATTTATCATCATTTTGCAGATACATGAAGAAACTAACACCATGGGTGATTCAAGAGGGAGAGTTCAGGAAGATATTTTGCTCGGAATAAAAATGAATTTCCCTGCAGCACTTAATGCTGCACAATTTTTCAATTTTCCTGCATTTAAAAATGCTCCTTGGTTGTCAATGATGGCCACAATATGAAAGTTTCTTACAGAACAATGAATTAAGAAATGAAAAAGAGAAGCATATAAATAAGCAAAGCTTTTCACTTTTTTATTTTTAGGTAACTTAATAACTTTAGAATATACTAGAAATATCAGATTTATACAAAATTAAACAGTTCAGTTTTTATGGACACCTAAAATGAAACATTTAAAATTATTTTATAGTTAGTTTAATTATCAGTCTATCTGGTACTTGCATGTTTCAAGTATTTCAAATTAATACTAGAACATCTTATAAATACTACTGATTAGAAGGAAATATCAGGCACTCTGCATTAAATGAACACATACAATTTTTATTTATTTATTTATTTATTTATTGATGTCAGAAAAATTGTCAACCTCTGCTTCCTAAAATAAAATATGTTGAAAGCGCTGATCAAATTTTATTGCAACTAAAAATTCTTTATGCTATATACTAATTACAATTTACATAAAAACCTGTTGCATAAAATCAGTGAAAGAATGGCATTCTTTTTGCCGAGGAAGGAGGAAGGGAAAAAGCATTTGCATCCATTATTATTAAAGGACTTATGACTACAAAGTGTAAAATGCATATGAAGTTGTTTATCAGTAATAAATATGAATATCTTGCAACTTTCTGGTTCCTTTCAAAATATATAAAAGTGTAATATCTGAATATTTAACAATAGATTAAGTTAAAATATATATCTTACATAACACTTCACTTAAATGACTTCGACAACATACAGTGTGGCAAAAGATAAAAATTTCATGGAGATGGTTAAAGTTACTGAGGTTTTCTTTTAAGGAGAAAGAAAGATCCTACAATACACTTTTTGTAGATTTTTTACAGAATTGATGATTGGTTATAATTATTAATATAGCTCTAATTAATTGACAAAAATAGTCTGATATAATTAATAACCGATAATATATTATTTTAACTGAAATTAAATTCTTTGCATTATATTCTCCATCTAAAGTGTGCTGTAGGCAGACAACTTTTCTTTTGATACACATTATTTATTTGCAAATTAAAAGTTAAAAAAAAATAAATGCTCATTATATTTATGTCTCTTATTTATGCAATACAGTACGTTTATATGCAACACAGAAATTGTTGATTTACACCAAAATTCCTTTCTAAAATAATTTGAAAACATTTTTATTAATTTAAATTAAAAATTAAGAACTTAAATGTTTGATGTAAACTTAATAACACCAAAATTAAACTGTAAAATTATCATAAATACAATAAATGATTATATTTACAATAACTGAAATGACAAAAAAAGAGCGCTTACAAAAATTTAAATTGGTTATTCATCCTTACAAACTGAAGGAGTGCAATTGTTAAAAACCTTGAAGATAAAAAATATGAAAGGAAATTAGAATTCATGAGAATATCCTTTTAAAATTCATATTTAATTCTTTTGATTATCAAACCTATTCTATGTTAAAAATAACTAAGTAAATTATACAAAGGCATGCATTGAAAGGAAAATGGATATCCATACTGAGTGAATGATGTCAGTGGCATTAGAAATCCTTTCTATTAGATAGCTTCTCCTTTTTTGTTTTTACAGACAGAGCTAACAAATAGCATAATGAAACTAATTCACAAGACTCCATTTCCTAAGTCGTCAGCCAATGCATTACGGAGGATGTCCAGATGGTCTATTCTTTCTTTCACAGCCTTACATCTAGCTGCTTAGATTTACTTTAATTTTTAAAAATGCTTATATAATTATTACGTTTTACATAAGCAATGTATAAGTAAAATTATTTTATTAGACAAAAATTGACTAAAGGCCATTCAGTGAGAAAGTACACTAACTACAAAGTTCTACTGGGTGGCATACATATTACACCTGTACAGTAAATTCGTTAATTGTTTTTAGATCTATGAATTTTTTCTGTTTTGTTTATTTGTTTCCATTCATATCAGTAAACTAACTGCTTGAAAAATTGAAGCAAAAAAGTTTGTACAAAACTTGAAGCAAGCCACTACAAAAGCAAACAAGATTAAAAGCTCTGTTACAATATTACAATGTGGTACAAAATTATAACAATTCATTACAGGCATTTTAACAATTGCACATATTTTCAAACAAAAAAGAAATAATTATATATTTTAGAGTTACATAACATGAATATTGTATTCAAAGGTTATTAGTTGCACAAGAATACTTCATTATATGTTAATACATCTTAATCATACATGTAATTAGTATGGATATGTTGAATGAGAGAGACAAATGAAATGAAAAACTACATTCCACGCAATGCCAGTTACATTAAGTTACCAATATACTAATCAACTAATGTATACACTTAAAGAATAAAAGTCATGTATAGCTATACAAAGAAGGGCTACACTTCTTCAAACCATCAGCAGACAGCCATACATTAAGTTATTGGATGAGTTGGTAGCAGCATTCTGCAAGGATTTAATAAAGGCATTAAAGTCAGTAGCCTATTCCTCAAACTAAATCCTGGTAACCAAAAACTAGACTACCGTAATAGGATGCATTACATGGTTAAAAGGCAATGCCAAGGATGGGACAAATAAGGCATTTATGTAAAAAACGACACTAGTCATAAAATTAAAAAGTAATAAATCTTGTCATGAAAATGATTTTAGAATATTCAGTAGCCATTTTAACATTTCCCTCTAGAGTCAAAATTTTTCAACATGGCTCAATAGAACAAAATTTCTCAATATAGTTGGAATATGCTTTCATCATCAGGATTTTTGTAAGCTATGGTGGGATGAACTTGAACTAACAAAATGCTCTCCCCCTTCATGTCAGTAGATGCCAGACAGTTGCTTCAAAAGAATAATATGTCTTTCGCAATCACATCACAATGACAGATGGCAAAAGAAGGTTTTTTTCAAAAATGTTTTGTGTTTACTCCACTCTGAAATATACTATGATTTCATTGTGTCTGATTCATACTTGATGTTTTGATTGCAGATGGCTTGCCTGTTGCCTGAATACATATCTTGAAATGCCAAAGAAACAATAAATATAACAAAATTTTAACATCCCAGATGTTAGAAAACAAAACTGCTACAGGTCTTTAATAAACTATGACCATTCCCCAGGCAATATCAGACACGCCATGGTCAGTAACTCATGACATGTAATAATGTCATGAGTCATGACATGTAATAATGTCAAGTCAGTAACTCATGACATGTAATAATGCTTATGAACAATTACTTTAAATTTAATGGTTTTCAGACATCCTGTTCATATTACTACATAAAAAGCATGAAACTGCATAAAACATTAACTACATAAAAGCATGAAAATTCTACTTGAATTGCTATTTCCATGATTTTTTATTTCTCGCTGTATAAATAAAAAACTAAACCCAGAAATAACACATACCTGTGGACGGTTACCACCAGAACTTGCAGGCAACATTGGAATGTAACTATTCTGCAGAGTCCAAGTAGTAGACATTGAAGTGGAATGAAAAGAAATATCTAAAAAAAAAAAAAAAAAAAAAAAAAAAAAAAAAAACCCACCACTTATTAATATATATCGCATCAATTAAAATATAACAAGTAGTTTGCAGGATTATAACATACATAAACAAGCTTTTTCCTTCGAACAGTGTTTCTTTTTTGTGGGGTCACTTTAAAGTGAGTTGCAATTACAGTATTTCATAACAATTATTAATTTATTGAAAATAAACATTACTCATTAAGTTGTGACATTTTTACAATCAATAACGTAGAACTACTTTTTTGTTTCATGATCATAATTTATTTAACACTTGGCTTGATTTCCTTTTCAAATTGCTCTTGAATTACTGCCATTCATCATTTGCATGATGATTAACAGGAACCTTTTTGGGGGGGGTCTCATGCGAGAAATTAAAACTTATTACCACTTTTACTGAAGTCTATCCTAATTTTTTACTTCCGCTTTACTGAAATCTCCATGCCGATCAGACAGGAAAGTGGTTAGTGAACACTGACTGCTTTACCAAAGGCTCCAGGTTTGAATTTAGAAGAAGGCATTGATGTAAATTGTAGGACTGCCTTCACAGGAGGCAAAGGTGGCTCACCTATTAGCTATTTCCATAATAAAGTAACCACCAATTCTGGCCGTAATAGTGGCCAATGCCTATAATGGCTACTGCCACTGGAAATTTTTTTTTAAAAAAAAAAATTATATCATTTAACAGAAAAATCAGCTTTCACAGTGCAAATTAAACATTGTACTTAAGTCTACATTTATAGAATTATAACATAAAAATTGAAGAAGACATTGTATATCCAGAAAATTAGATTTTTAGATAACAGACACTCACACAGACCTTAGAAACTAAATAAATTTTTATGGGTTAACACACAAAGATCACACATGTATGTGTCAGAATGAACAAACATGCACATACAAAAAAATGTATGACTATCACTAAACATTCTTAATACTGATGGGAATTTTAAAAAAAACACAAAAAAAATTTTAATTACCTCAAACCTAACACTACTTCCTACAACAGCTATTTTTTTTATCTAAAACTATTGATGAACATGCAGCCATTGGGCGTATGGAAAAGCAAAAATCATAAAATGATACTAAATGTATGACACCACAGTTATTAAGATTTACAGATGTGGGACAAATCTCCCAGATATTACGTTCTATTTTCTTAGATACTAAATAAAACTTCAATAAATAGCAAATGTTTTGTTATACTAAACCTGTATACAACTTTTACACAATCCATTAACTTAAATATTTGATCTAGAATGCTAATTTCAAATGCATTGTCTAAGTACTACCATGATGGTCCTGTATCTGCTGATTCAGTATATATGGTTCACAAAGTGTGGAAAAAAAAAAAAAAAAAAAGCACGCTTAAGTGATAAAATGTGATTGAGATTATGTGCCATCTGTTAGCAAAAAAAAAAAAAAAAAAAAAAAAAAAAAAGATTAAGTTCTATCAACAAGAATATCTCTAGGGGTGAAGTAAAAAATTTAACTGCAAACTTTGAATGCTTTCTCAAATCTCTGTTAAAAAGATCAACAAGGTGAAAAGGCTATTCAAGCTGGTGGCAAGAAAAATTGGAAGCATATGAAGAAATCTTTTACTATTTACATCTACAAAATTTTGGAACAAGTTCAGTTTACAGTTAACTAAATAGCATTGCAGAATTCTGCAATTTATGCTTTAAAGGTTACTGCATGAGTGTTTGGCCCAAAGAATGGCCAAGTGATTAAGACTGCTGAGTACTGGGAGCTTGACCTTGGTTTGATCTCAGGCAAATAGGCTGGCTGCATGGTTGGTTTTTGTCTCCCCCCCCATGGTAACATCAATAACAGCCCATTTCCCTTAGAGAATTCTCTACAAAGTCTTCCCTTTCCATACGCAGATAGCTCTTGTGTTCTTTATTGCATTCAAATACTGTACCCTATTCTGTGAGTGATGTCAGTGATCTGCATTATTTCTAGTGTGTTACCTCTGCAGGTCTTATCTTTGTTTTTTCCTTCTCCCATGAACTGTTACTGATTACAATAAAACATTAATTTTTTCTAAAATTTTCTACTAAATGTTTCTAAAATTTTCTAAATAAAAGTTTTTTAAAAATTTTTCTAAAATGTTTAACTAATTTTGCAACTTTTCTGTCATAAATTGGATGTATTAAAAGGCTTGTAAAACACAGTGACTTAACTTTGGTTATATGAGATATTAATTATTTTGAGTTGTTGAACATCACCAAATAATAAAAACATTAAAATTAAAGATATAAAACATATCAATGTGTGATCAGTAGATGCGCATCAACTGGTAGTACTGAAAACAATGAGAGTGGGATAGTCAACAGTTCAAACTGCAAGAGACTGCAAAAATAAAATGGAAAGGTTAGTGAAAGAAAATTATTATTATTTTTTTATTAGTAGCATATAAATGACACTGTGATGACAACTTTCTGCTGTTGAAACTGGATAAAGTAAAAAATTACTTTCCAGTACCTTACTGCAAAACTTAATATACAACTGTTACCTTCAAAACTAGCAGCTGGTTTCATGGTCATTTGCCTGCAATTTAATTACACAGTGATCTCAAACTGACAGCCCCTGAAGTAATTTTACATGGCCTTCTAAGACATTTCAACTAGGCATTTGTGCAAATCTGATACTTATAGTTTGGGAAACATAAGGATATGGGCTGAGCTTCAAGACTGCTCCTGAGAGAAAATTATATAGAACAAATCGGTGTTTTGCCTTTGTCACTGAACATTGCAATATGCTAAGCCTTCTAATTGTGGTAAATCGGGAGAATTTTCCATGTACGTACAATCAGCAAATTTAGTTTGCCAACTGTAGTTAGTCACACTTTAACAGTCTGGCACTTTCAGCTTTTTCTGTCAACTTGGTATTTCTGATATATGTTTTCCTTGAGTCAGTCATTATCTGGTTAGCAGTATGCAGTTTCACAGTTCATACTGCAATAGATAGAGACAAACTAAACTGGCTTATAAAACTTGTTCATTTGTGCTTCTTGTCAGATCTGCATTATATCAATCTATTTGTTTAAAATTGTGAGTAACTTTTGACTGTTGTTTTAACACAAAAATTCATCATGTTGAATTTAAGCTGTAAATAATATAACAATGATTTAAATTATGAGATAAATCTGAAAGGCACATGAAAGAAAATTGGATGATGAAGGACATGTTTTTCAAGAAAAATGAGTAAAAGCATGCTTTCATGGTAAGCATAATAAAATTGAATACTTTATTTTTAATATGGTAATATCAGTTCCAAAAGAATACAATTTACTTTGCCATTGCAAAATGAATCATAAAACAAAACAAAATTTGAAATCTGACTTAAACTGCAACTTCTTTCTCCCCCCCCCGTTTTTTTGCTGAAGCAAATAAATCCAGTAAGCATCAGTTAAAGCAGGTTTTGCTCACTTGTACACCATTATAAAATGATCAAAAGCATTTAATGATGGCAAATTCATTAAAGATTGATTGATTAAGTCTGCTGGACTTTATTCTGATAAGAAAGAATTATTTAAAAATAAATTTTTCAGCATTCTCAACCGCAGTTGATGAGAATAAAAACATTACAGGTATACTGCAACTTGCTATTTTCATACAAGGTTATAACAGATAGATTTGAAGTAATAAAGGAATTTTAATAATGGGAAACACAAATAAAATTACATTTCCTACATCTTAATTCCCGCTTTATTACTTCAAATGAAAAACCTCAACAATTTGCAAGGGAAGTAATGTCATTTCAAAATTTCAATGTAATAACAACAAGAATTTAAAGTAAGATTTAAACATTTTAATGATTTTTAGTTTAATTTGACTTTTATTTCATTACCATTAAAAACAAATGTGAATGCAGCATCAGAAAATCTAAAAATGGAGCTAATTAATTTACAGTGTGATATGAATCTTATTTGAAGAAACAAATTTGATTAAATTTTATTCTTATTTTGCAAAGGATAAGTACCCTCAGTTACATTATTTTCAAAATAAGAATAATTGCTTCATTCGATAATTTGAGCATGCATTCGTATGTGAACTGCCCCCCCCCCGGCTGAAAGTAATAAACATATGAAAAGAACTCAGTTGATTGATGAGCATTTACAATCAGTAATGAAGATAGTATGTAGTAATTTTTCTTCACAGCTAGAAACTTTACCAGAATCAAAATAATATTAATAGTAAGAAATAACAAAATTACAATTATTTGCATACAAACATATGCATTTTTTCTGTACATGATGAAAAGAATTTAATAAACAAAAGAAAGAGATTAGATTCATTCTCAAGTTTTTACCCACTTGGAAAGTTTTCATAATTTGTTTGCTTTTAGTTCAGTAAGTTATTTAATCATTAAATCAATATATCAGAACTGTTTGAGATAAATGCTAATCTGATAATTAAATATTTAGCTGTCAATAAATTTGAGAATTATAAACTCTAACCAAGAGGAGTATCTTGCAGGTACCAAAGTTTGGATTTCAAACAGAAAGCAAGCATAAATTTGAATTTTTCCTTTGCATTATTTAGCTATTTATGTATGTTTGGATAAATATTTAGCAAATGATTGCACACGTATAGAAAATTTAACGAAAAGAAAGTCTCGCAATTTTAGTAGGGAGATAAGAAGAAAAGTTTCATGATGAAAAATAAGTATAGATATATACGTTGCAAAAATTACAGTTGAACATTATTGAAATAAATTTTCAATTAAACAATGTGTAAGGATAATTAAATTTTGAACTAAAATTTCAAACATATTATATACTTATATAAAATACACCACACATGTGTGTTACACATAATGCGAGAATATGATATTCATATATCAGGGTTACGTATGGTGAAGTATTAATATATTTCCACTTATTTTATTAAAAAAAATTTCACCCTGTCAAATGCTTTCAGGCTGTGCATTTTGCCTAAATGCAGTTTAAGCTTGTGAGTACTATACTAGCATAGCA